ACCGCCACCGGGGGAGGGAAGAAGGGGGCTTCCGTATTGGTGGTGGTGGTGGTAGTTCAGCTGCTCTTGTGGAGGACAGAGCGGAAGGGACGGCTCCGGGAGGTGGTTGGGTGTCTTGCAGGCGCCGCTCCCGAGCTCGCTTGGAACCGTTCCGGCTTCCCAGTCTCTCCCGTCCCTCCTCCTCCCCCCTCCTCCTCCTCCTCTTCTTCTTCTTCTCCACCTTCTTCTCCTCTCGCTGCGCGTCTCAGCCAGCCAAGTCCAAAATCAAAATAGTGTCACACAATATGGCGGCCACTCCAGTTGGCAAGCCTCGCGAGATCTTGCCCCGAGTGCTAACGGGATAGCACTGGAGGAGGAGGAGGAGAAGGAGGAGGTCCCCGGGAAATGAAAAAAGAGGCGGGCGGGAGGGAGGAATCTCCTCGGTTGCCTAGGTGACGCGGCGAGTATTGCTGAGCGGAGCAGGGGTCAGTTTGACAGCAGTGTGGCCTCTCGGAGCAGCCACCCCCCAGCGCCAGCCTCGAGGCAGCAGCCACAGCAACCCGCTCCTTCAGCATTGTCCCTCCGCCCACGTCCTTGCAGGGAGCTGAGCAGAAGTGCCAGAGCAAAAGAAGCGGGCTGGAGGGAGTTTTTTTCTTTTTTCTTTTCCGCCGTGCACCATCAGCCTCTCCCTCAAGTTCTCTCCTTTGGCGCGGTTTCTCCTCCAGGCTAACATTGTACATACTTGACCCTCGAGTAATTGAGTTTTAATTGAAAAACTGGAGTTTCGGAGTGCATTCTTTATAATACTTTTTTAAAAAAAGATTTGCATGCTGTCCGTCAGGAGCACTTGCTTCACATTGTGCAAGTGTGAACCAACTTAAAGAAGGAGGAGGCGATTCCCAGGCTCTTCCGTTAAGCACCTCAAAGTTTTAAGACCGAAACGGAAAGAGGCAAATTTCAACGTCGAAATTCAGAACAGTGATCACCTTCATTGTTTGTAAAACAACATATACTGTACAACGGAATACGCCATACATCTTTTTAAATTACCTTCTCTGTGAACCGACAGGAAATAGAATTAATATCAATTAATAAGTAACCTACCTTTGGAGTAAACATTGCTTTTGAAGTCCTTGGCCTTACCCATGGTGTGGTTTTTGTTTCTCATTGACCCCATTTTGTCTATAAACCTATCGGCCGCCAATGCTGACATTGTTATTGGAAAAAATGACACCATATAGCTAGATGTAGAAGGCATGCATTTGGAAGCAGCTATGGGGAATTGCATTCATGCACATAAGTACACATTTAAGTTCCATATTACATCCTAAGTAAGAATTTTAAAAGCAATCACAAATAGATGGAAGTGACAGAACATCCATCAGATCCAAAACCTAACAAGCTCATGCTGTCTAGGGCAGAAGCTGGGACACCTGGTTTTTTTGTAAATCTTATTTTATTTTGCAATTTCTGTTCCACTGAAATCAAGGGAGGGCAGATTACTGTAAGCAGAAATGTCATTAGCAATGGGCCCATGCAACATTTCCGTTGGTGTAACTGGGACCTTTCCATCAAACTTGACCTCCCCAACAGAGCTTCTCTTTGACAAGGGATATGCATCTTTATGCTCTCCTAATCTCTTCCAGCCTGGCAATTTGGATGTTAAGATTGCACTGGAAGCTTAGCTACTAATCTTTAATGGAACTACTAGCCTCACACATATCCATATTTATTCTGAAATAATTCTCTATGGGACTAAGGTTGCATCTACAAAGTCAAATACTGCAAGATTTGCTGCAAGTATAAAAAGCATGAATTTGCATTTTAAAAAATCTGATCACATGATGCACAAACTAATTCGAATCAATCTGGCCCTTTTTGCTCCCTGTGTGGAGGTTTATTTTTCTTTTGTCGCTGAGGGCTTCTACTTTTTTCAAGCCAAAATGATTCAGACAAATTGCTGTGTGATCACATTCTCAAAAAAAGAAAAAGTGTGTGGCTGTGGGTGGTATTCTGGTGATGTATTAAGCTGGTTGTGATGTTTTGGATAGTGGGAACATCCACACCTTGTGATTTTCTTCCCTAGCCACATTGTAGGCTGTAGTTTTTAATTTTTTTAAAAAAACTACTAAGTTTAGCACTAGATCATCTTATCACTACATTGCTATACTATTTTAGTTCGATATTATATAGAAATTGTCTGTACAGACAAAACAAAGCTAAAATTTATATGAAATAAAAAGAACTGTGATGAACTACTGTACAATAGAACACTATGTTTCTGTGGTGTATATATAAAATTTATATAAAATAAAAAGAGCTGTGATGAACTATAATAGAACACTATGTTTCTGTGGTGTATATGTATGTGTTTATATGCTGGAGACAGCTTTGGAAAACTACTTTTCCCTAGAACCATGCAACACTTTGAATAGTCCACCAGCTTTACATGAATCTTGAAAGAAGAGCCAGAGATTTGCAGAGGGCAGGATTAAAGGGAGGGGACTGCAGCATGGATCAACCTGCATCAAATTGACAGTGTGGACACTGGCGTCAAAATAATCTGCAGTATCCATGTGATCACCTAATTTGAACAGAAGCATAAAATAGGCTGTGAATCTAGCCACAGCTGGATTCACCAGTGTAGTTGCAGCCTTCCTCCCAAGTGTATTTATGTATATATGACTGCAGACTAAACCACCTTGTGAAGGAGCAGTAGACCCAAAGGGGAAAGAACAGAGAGAGCTGTCCCCTCAGCTAGAGACATCTGAGCGGGAGAGAGATAGAGAGGAGAGAAGACAATAGAAAGGGAGGAGTTGAATGTGTAGGAAAGGAAAAGAAGGGAATCAAAGGGGAAAGAGGAGAATATTGAAATCTGTCTAGTGGAAGAGAGAGAGGGAGAAGGGGTTGTTGTTCTTTAGTCGTTAAGTCGTGTCTGACTCTTCATGACCCCATGGACCAGAGCATGCCAGGCTCTCCTGTCCTCCATGCTTATCTCATGTTGCTATTTCAGTTACTTGTGCAGCAATATTTATGTATATATTTATTTTCTGATAGTATTTATAGGCTTCATATCCAATAAAATACATAGAGTCTGAAAATTGATACATAAATTGCCAGGACATCGCTTCAGAACTGTAGGTTTAGACAAAGCCATGGGGGTTTAATGCAGTCCAATAAAATTAAATAAATCATATTGCTTAAAATACTGTGACAGCCGGGATTAGTGTCCATGTCATAATTAGTCCTGATCAGTGTCTGCGAGCCTGTCCAGGCAGGGGAATTTAGAGTAGTCTAGTTTGCAAGTAAAAGGTTCTTATCTTCAGTGCGATCTCTCTCTTGCGTGGTCCTTCCATTCACGCTGGAGATTATTCTCCAGCAAGAAGGGTCAACACAAGTCTTTGTATTACTGGTTTACTCATAAGGTGGAGAGATGGAAGGGAGGTAAACCCCTCTTTTCCTATCTTTCTCCTCAGCCGGAGCTCTGCTGGGGCTGGGTTGCCTTGTGGGGGTGGAACCCATGGAGGAAAACAGGAAGTGGCCATCAGAACTGTACAAGGCAGGGAACGATATGGAGGGGTAGCAGCTGCAGAATAATGCAAGCTTTCTCCCAGTTCATAGAATTTGGGTTATCTTGGCATCAAGTCCCCTTCATTAAAAATATTCCTGCTTAATGCTGTATCAGTGACTCGTATAACAAGAAACATCAAGGACCCTGAATGAGTGTGCTGACCTGGCCTGTAGTACAGAAACTTAGCTGGATGAATCTGGGGGTGCTAATCTCTGGTCTGCCTGGCTGGGTTCTTCATACAGCAGCAGGCAAGACCTGGGGAGCGTGAAGGTAGAGTTGCAATGGTCTTTCATGACTTTATTCCCCTCGCTAGGTACCATATCTCACAGATTGTCAAGTTTGAGTGTGTGTACTTGAAGATGGGTGTCCAGGACAGAAAAAGGGTTCTGCTGATGCACCATTTACCCTACTTCACAACAATTTCTCATCTTCAGCTAACTCACCTGGTCTCTGGTCTCAGGGGTAGCATTAGAATCATCTCAGCTTGTTGACCCAGGACACATCAACATCCATACTATGGTTGCTTTGTCAGGAACAGCTCAGAACTTCATATCCTCCATTATGGCCATAGGCTTGTCCCAAGGAAATGGCTTAAGTATCCCCTCACATAGAATGGAGCCAAATTTGCCCCTGGTTGACTGAGGAGGTGGCAATGGTGAAAAAACTGGAACAGAAACTAGTCAATGGAGAAATCTTGGAGTCAGTCTGGCTAGAATCCACTAGAAAGCTTTTTTGGATGGCAATGGAAGTTATTAAGTTCTTGTTTTCTTTTACCATTGCATCTGAACAGTCATCCAACAGAGCTGTTTTCACTGGTCAAGAGCCTACTACACCATGATTCACAAGAAGAGAATGTGGCCTGCCCACATTCACCAGCCCCTTATGAAGCATCTGCTTAACACTTTGCAGATAAAATTGCTCAGATCACTTCTGACTAGATGTGGGAGCTTCGTATTCATATCCTTCGGGATACAAATACAAAGTGCAACACAACAGGTGCCACAGAGGTTTTTTCCCTCCCTCCAGAACCATCTCGGTCCACTCACTGGGCTTCACGTGGCGTGTGCAGCCATTGTCATTAACATTGTGCCAATTGCAGAAGTAGCCTGACCGCCAGGACTCCCCCCCCCCATTCTGCTGACCACTCCAGTGAGGAGGCAGGATAACGAGTCACCCTACTCAGCTGCTGAGTGGTCAGAAATGCAGGAAGGCAGGGAAGCACCAGCTGGGCTACTTCTGCGATTGGTGCAATGACCACAGCCATGCACACCATGTGAAGCCCAATGAGTGGTCCGGGATGGTTCTTGGGGGAGAATCCAAGGAATCGGCCAACCGTGGTGGTGATATTCATATTTGTCTGTGTGTTTAGTCGTTTAGTCGTGTTGTGGTGATATTCATATTT